AGATTTTCAGTACAAATCGGCAATTTCATACTTTAACCCCTATTATTAAGTTCATTGCACTGTATAGATATATAATTTTGTTTATAATTTTAAAAAAATTTTTATAACTACTGACACAAACAAAAACTGACAATTATGATAAATTTATAGGGCGAGTGAGTGTGTGTGTGAGTGAGTGAGTGAGTGAGTGAGTGAGTGAGTGAGTGAGTGAGTAGGGAGTTAGTGGGGAGTGAGTGAGGAGTGTTTATTGAAAAGTGCATTTACTTAAAAAGTCGTGTCGGCCATCTTGGATTTAGAAATAAATGCTATATTCGTAATGAGCACCCCCAAATACCTCAAAAACGATACCCAACTTGCCATTATTTGAAGAGTCGTGCCCGCCATCCTGGATTTAGAAAGGAGTGCCATATTCGTTACAAGAGCACCCCAAATACTATATTGCCCACGCTATATTCGACCACAGAGGCACTCACTCACACACCATTATTGGAAAAATTTTTTTTCGCTCTCGTTCCATTAATTCTTGTCTTAGAAAAGCAGTGATAATCAAAACCATCTTTCATCATCTACCATGCGCGCACTGCACGCATGGTAGAAACGGCTGGCACAACAACTCGAAATACGATTTTTTGCTTTCAAGTTCTGTTGACACGGAGACGTTCAACATATAAAGGCGAGGCGATTATCGCTCACGTGGAAGGGCGATAATCGCATCTTCGAGACGAGAAACTCTCTCCATCTAAATGGGCCTTTAGTCCAATGCCATTTACGAATTTCCACTAACATTAAACAATTTAAATTTAAAGTGATTAACAAACCAAAAAGAGATTTTAAGAGAAAAAAAACAAAGAACACATTTACTTAAAAAAAAAAAATTAATAATAGATAAGTATGTAATCATCGCCAGCCATGTGATGTGTCAAAGTAACGTTTGGTCATTTGTAGCCTGATTGTGTATATGCATGTACAAAACAAATCAAATTCAGAGTGATATACTGTCTTATTGTTAAAAATTCTCAATGCACGCATCACGTATGTACGTATTTTGCCCACAATTACTTGATCAATTAATTGTGGCAAATGGAAAATTATTGAGTCCGTATAACGTTAAATTGTAGTTTGAAAATTTAACATCACATGGGCTAACTATAACAAAATCCTTTGTCATTTTTTCGATAACGAAAGAGCCGGAATCGACACCAGTGTGTAATACATACACATTGCATGAAATAAATTTACCTTTGGAAGCAAATGGGCAGGACATCCTTTGTTCTTGTATCTCCCTCTTAGTGTAGTTGTCTGGGAAGATATCTACCTTCATGCTCAGGTTTATATTGTCTATAGGGCAGTGTCCACTGTTCCTGTAATTATGTTTAGGGATTAATGTCAGCTTTACGTTCTGAAGTGTTAAAATTGCATAAGTTATAATAGCAGAATTAATAAAACTTTTTCTCTTAGCATGTTATTAATAGAAATATCTTAGTACGAAAGGAGATTGAATACAATCAATGTCGACAGTCTAAAGATTAGAGGGCGCGACGTAAAAAATTTAAAAAATGATATTAATAGGAAATGAAACTATTTTTCCGGATTTAAATCGCGTATATTGGTTTTTTCAAACAAACCGACGTTTCGGGCCCTTTACAGGTCCCATGGTCATGGTTGACAGGATGCTGCGAGAGGCCATTGAAATTAAAAAACATCCTAATTTCAACAGGGAAGATGGTTTCTCCGTACCACCAGTTTGGGATCCAGACGGCATTTTGCTTTGGGGTAATGTCGCCGATATCAATAGAATCTTTGTCCTGCAGAAACGTGCAGTTAGGGCAATTTACAATCTGGGCCTTTGAGAGATAAGTTTAAGGAAATTAACATTCTTACACTAGCCTCACAGTACCCATTCAAAATCGTATGTATTTGTTTTTTTTTTATTTATTCAAGACAAGCAATAAATACACTTTATACAAAAAAAGATTGTTATACAATTTTTTTTTTCATAGCCCCGCACTAGGGAAGCCCTCTTAGAGGATAGAATTTCCATAGTCTAACGAAGCCCTGTGTCGCGGATGGGACAATACAATGGAGTAGTGCTAAAGAGGTTGTCACATCATGCAATGCGCCAAATACAACTACAGTTAACTTATAAATGCTACTTTCCCCGAAATCTGCTATGCGAATGAATAGTAATGTTTAATCAATACCATGATTTCTTATGTAATTTTCTTACCTATCAAATTAAAACATGATTGACTTTGAGTTAAGTGAAACGAACTTACTGAAGCCAAGAAGTAATGCAACTCTTGCAGAACTTGTGACCACAGGTGGTGATGACAGGGTCTCGTAGCCAGTTGAGGCACACAGGACATTCATAGCGCGACTCTGGCTGGTTGCTCAGCACAGTCTCATTGAGTGCCGTGATGCCCATTGGCTGAAATAATTTCTTTATTTTAAGACATATTTCGAAAAATAACAATTGACAATATTATTTAAACTGACAAATTAAATTTCAGCATTTTCATTTGATATGCTATATCAAATGAAAATACCATACTAATACCTACATATAAATTAGGTAAAGGGATTGCAGTAAGTAGGTTTGATGTAAGAACTATTGTTAATTATATTTTTGTTGATAATAAATGAAAAAAAAAAAGTATCTATTGTTAAGATAACTTTGCATCTGCTTTGTAAGGACTATCTAAAACATTAAGCACAAGATGTATAATAAAAAAAATGCGAAATTGAAATATCATGGATAACTAGAACGAATAACAGTAGGGCTAGAATGACAGGGTGCGACATGCGCCAGATATTGTAGTTCTCTATGCGAGAATAGTAATATCCCGCGCTTTATATCATTTGCTTGTGCAAAATTGTATACAATTAAATTTTGCCACAAATCCAAAATTATGATCATTAAATCATATTAAATATAAGAAATATCAATATTTAAAAGAAATATACTTATTACACAAAATAAATACACATTGTCGCTTTAGAGTGAAAACCTCACTATGGGTTTTCACACAGTTAGTTTTTACTGATTTTTGTTGAAGAAAAACTTATAAACTTCTTGCTCAAATATATAAATATTCAAGTAATATAGTATCTACAAGTATAATTTAACTCATTAAAATGCTAACTACAAACATTACTGTGTTTACTACATTTTACGCCACATTTTTATCTTTATCCTGAAAATTATACATCACACACAAGGTGATTATATACTACATTTTTATATTATTACCTATGAATAGCAAATGAATGATAAATTACAATAGACTATTATTATATTAATTTATAGATAGATAATTTTGCCATTTTTACTAGGCATTCCAAATTTAAACGGTATTTGTTTTTGGTGCCCTTCATATTGGCACCATTCGCACTTACAATGCAGTTATCTTTCCACTTTTGTACACTATCTAACACTGTGCAATTTTTTGATAAACCTTGTGTCTGTTTGTCATTTGTCTGGTTATGCTCATTCATGCACCCACTAAAAGTATATTCACATTTCAATCAATTTTATTATACTTGTACATTTTGTTTCAATTTCTTGTATCTTATAGGCTAGCTTGTATTTAGGTTCTCGTATTAATTATACAACTATTTAACTTGGAGAAACTAATTTGGCGTGGAAATAATAAGTTAACCTCTAAAATTAACCTTCCAGTATTATTGAAATCAGCATTATAAACGTTTCAATTGCTTCTTATAACCTGTCTTAAATTAAGTTTACAACGACAAAATTAAGGAAAACTAATGAGTCATATAAGTTTCCAAATGTGTGCTTGTACGGAGATATTAATTGTCAGAGTAACTGGTACACACAATAACCACTAATTATAATGACGAGCCAAGTCATTTAAAACGAAATGAGCTTACAGCAATTCCTTCCGACGCATCTTTGCTCCTGTTTCTATCCATAACAATACACTTTTCAATTATATTTTAAAATTGGATACTTGATTATTCGAATAGCTGACTGGCTGACACCTGACACCACTACACTGGCACGGGCTGACTGCTTTGTGGGCTGACTGGCTGATCGTGACAGTACTCACAGTACTTTATGATCGTGACACTGACATTGACGTATATAAGCAAGTTTATTGTATCAACTATGGACATACGCTAGTGATAGGTGAGTCGAGTTATTTAACTCGATTAACTCGAGTTACTCCCACAACGAGTCAACTCGAGCTACTTTTTCATGAATTATGAGCTAACTCGGTTCGGTACCCGCTCCACCTTCCGCCCCGAGCCGAATACTCAGTTCATACAGCGCATCGGCTACTCGTTCTCACACGGTCGTCGGTTGAGCGACCTTCGGAGCACAATCGGGTTGCGGTCTGTCGGGCGATCGTGCTCAACTCGGTGAATCCTCGGTTCGAGTTCACACGCTGCATTGCGATTGCTCTGTCAGACACCGAGTTGCAACTAGAGCCAGCAATCACGTCAACTCGAGTAACTCGAGTAGAAAAAATACAACTCGTCCCATCGCTAACATAAACTGTTAGCGCCTCTTGGCACCCAAACCCAACCTAGTGGTGTTTATGTAAAAAAAATGGATATTTTCGAGGTATCGTAAATATTCTAGAAGATAAAAGAAAGAAAATTTTACTAAGAGTAAATAAATAAAACTACATACTGCAACTACATACTCTATAAACTACATACATACATAGCATACGGTCAAATCTTCTACGCGTGTAGCCTGTGGGTGAAGTGTAATAAGGTGACCCTAAATACGCTGAGGGTATAGTATAACAACGCGTTTAGGATGTTGTTGGGGCTACCACGATACTGTAGCGCTTCAGGCATGTTCGCTGAGACACGCACAAATGGCTTTCATGCCATTCTGAGGAAGCGGGTTGCCTGGCTTTAGCGACGTGTGCGCCCCTACAGCATTCTAAAAATTGTGGTTGATAAAATTGACTGCCCCATCCAGGCCCATTGGATGAAACTTTATGTGGCGGTTTAGTTTAAGTTTACATAAGTGTGTTAAATTAATTTCAATTTTATATTTAATGTTGTAATTCGTGGGTTGTTTTTGAATTTTAATTGTATTATTTTTCATTTTTTTATTTTTTTAACATTATCTTATTTTATTGTAATTTTAGCATTTGAATAGCATCATACTAACCTTATTCCTAAGTTCTTTACTAGCAAACTATGGATAACTGTTGTTGGTCCGAAATAAAGTATTATTATTATTATTATTATTATTAAAACCACCAGTTTTGAAACAATAACCAAGTATTTCTTCAATTAGTTTTATAATACATGCGATTTAGATAACTAAATCGCATATATTTGTTTTTTTTAAAACGATCTGACGTTTCCGGGTGCCATGTAAACGTAACGTAAACATTCTTAAAATTCATTAGATCTAGTGACAAGTCGGTAAAACGGCAACATTGCCCCAGTCGTTGGAGTGGGAATCAATATTAAAGGTAAAATATATTTAATTTGCCTACACATACGAAATCCTTTATACAAAACAAAAGAAAGAAATATTTCTTTACGACAGACAGCATAGGCTGCCATTTTATTTCCGACAGCTCTGATCAATGGCTAACCGCACACATACAATATTATTGACAATCTACGTTTATGTATGTTCCCAACACAACAATATCGCCCGCACACAAGCAATATTTATATTATATTAATATATATAATATTTATAGCGCGCTATTTAAAGTGCTAAAATTATAATTAAATAGCAGCTCAAGGTCTACTTTTATATACAATTATTACACTAGACTTATTAATTAAACAAACGCTAAACTAACTAAATAAATCCAAGTACTTAATTATATCTTAATTTAAATCGCTTCACCAGACGAAATTTTGCTAACGTTCCACCATTAGCTCAAAATCGTATTAAAACGTAACCAAAATTATAATTTATAACATAACTACAATTATAATACTTGCTAAGTGCTAAATATAGCATTAGCGCTTAGCGTATTCAACCGTAAAATTTAACATCAATAAACGTTTCGCACAAACGTTAAATTCTACAAATAATATGTGAAAGTATTTCACGTTATAATTGTTTCAACCAATGACAAGAGCCGCAATTTTCACATAGAACATGGTGCCATCAAGGTGCCATCTATGAAATATTAAGGGAGATAACTCAGGACGAAGAAGGATTTTGTTTGTTAGCTGCATAAGTAAAGCACTGATAGATTGATGGTATGACATTGGAATATTGTAAAATTATGTCGCTAGAGAATGCCAATTTGCTTTAATTTTCTTAACTTACTCCAATCCAAAGTGAAAAAAAGTTCGTTATAATTTTAGCACCTTTATGTCTTTCAAATTATAATTGCCATAATTTTTTTTTAATTTAACGTTATAATTTGAGCTATATATTATATTAACCCTTAAACTCAGCATGCGTATGTTTTCATACGCACAATGCTCTACTACCGTAGGCTCAGCATGCGTATGAATTCATACGCATACACTACCAATTTGAAAAGATTTTTTTGGTGTAGCCAAATCCTTGTAAGTATTGATGGTTTGTACGTGAAAACAAAGCTGATGGTGTGCTCTTTCATTTGGTGTATAATACTCGTGACCTTTTGTTTGTGGTATCGAGTTATATCAGTTTGAAAATTCCCGGCGAACGAAGTGCTCGCGCGCGTTGTTTGAGTTTATCAAATAAGTGTTTTCAAGTGAAAAGTGAGTGAATTTTGTTCCGATTGCTAATAGAAAATATGCATTGGACTTTTACGTAAGTAATGCTATCATAACATGAATTGTGAGTGCAGTAATACGTAAATATTTTCACTTTCAAAGTTATCGGTACGACTTTTTCGGTGTTTCAAATACTTTATAATGTGTTATTTGACTAAAAGAAACATTTGGTTGTATATAATATGTAATAATAATACAAGTGCAACATCCTTTTATAGGATTCTGCCTATATTTCTGATCGAAAGCGAATAAATTTCGTAAATTTCTGCTTTTATTTGACATGTTGCAAAAATATGACCGCCATTTTTATACGCCATATTCGCAATAGTGCTTCCATGTCGATATAGGTGACATCGATAAGACAATCTGTGAACGAAAAGTGTAAAATATTGTTACTTTCATTTTTCCTTTTTTGTTCTAAGATTCGATAACCAAGTATCTAACAAGGTAGGTATAATTGTTAAAAAATAATAAGTGCCGCTACAATATGGATAAAATATTCCGTACCGTTACTTTATAGTAAATAATTGTAAAAATGTTTATTGTACATAATTTATATAGTAGTCAATTGTGGTCTCTGCCTACCCGAGGAAGGTACGATTTTGTGTATGTATTTAATTTATACAGCACTGATAATATGTTTTTTAGATGTGGAACCCCGGAAACGAAAGCGTGCCCAATGATTTCATTGATATCCTCAACGATGAGGAGTCTGAGTCAGATGAAGAGATCGTTGAGGAGGAAATTGAACAGGAGGGCGACCTAGCATAGCAGCGCAAATCGACCAACTGAACGTGAGTAACAGATAATATTATACTCAAACATATGTTCGTAGGTAATGTTTATATGCATAAATAAATATTAGACAATATCACATACGTTGCTCTGATCCCAAAGTAAGTAGCTAAAATAAGTTGTGTTATGGAAATCGGAAACAACGAAGTTACCACTGACACCCAGACCCAAGACAATATGGAAAAGTTAGTCTTTCTACGTTGACCCGGCCGGGAATCAAACGCGGGACCTCCGCATCCGCAGCCCAAATTATAAACATTCATTCACATTCCTATCCAGTGTGGCCGCCCGTGTTCCCGTCATGAAATGCTCAGTTACTTCAAAGCTTATCTTAATGTGCCAATAGACGTCCAGTGGGAATCAGAATTGTTTAGTTAGTGCAAATTCTTTAGCAAAGTACTTCAGAAAAACAAAGAGTGACTCTGTCCTGCCTTGCTACCTGCTCTGCCAGACGCGACCCTTTTTTTTTGGAGTGTTGTTGGTTTCACTACAAAGTGGCCCCACTTTGTAGTGAAACAAAGAAGGGTCACATTTACTTTTGCTATGATTTATGCCACTTACGTTAACAAAACTGATTTCAAAGAATTTCGTTATGAGCATAAGTGGTTGAGTTAACCATAACAAGAGGTGTAGGCGATAATGTTGTATAGGGTAGGATAAAAAATATACATGCGTCTCACATTGTAAATTGCGTATTTTTGTTAATGTAAATGCAGGTCGTAGTTACGATATTTTTGAAATATTGTGCTAGTAATAACAATTTTGTTTCATTGCAGCTATTATCTGGAAGTAATATTTTCGTGGTGCAGAGCGACGGAACTCCGGCTCCTATGGCGAGGCCAAAACCCATATCAGACGTTGTGTAAGTATTATTATGCTCTAATTAGGTACAAAACTATCACAATATTTGTATACAGATGTTCTTATTCTATAGTATCTTTCTTTTCTTTACAGAGCCAGCGATACCGACGAGGAAGAGGAGCAAGCCGACGAGTTAGTTTCATGGGCTAGTAGCAGAGTTTTTTCGATAATCATTATACTGCCCATAACGCATCGACCATAATATATCGATAATATATCGATTTATCGATATATTATCGAAAGACAGTTTATGTACGAGAGTGATAACATTATATGACCTTACCACTCGTGATAAAAAAGAAATAATTTGTTTATATGATTATGATATATTGCATCTGGTTTGGTGTTGGTGGTGCAGGAGTTCATTATTTTATAATAAGTTGTCAAAAAAAACTTCGATATTGTATCGTAAGACCTTTTATGTACCCATTCGTCTCTTTTTTTCACTTTTAGTATTTAGTAGCATGGTTCATCATTTGTACGTGATTTATCGATACCTCAATCGGCATCGGTACATCACTATTTCACTCAACTTTTTCATACAAATAAGTGACAGTTTTGATTATGATTTTCTTTTATATTTTGTTTGAATGACGTCTAAAATGAGTATAACAGAGAAAAATACAGTTATTCTGTTACAATATACGTTGT